ACTACTTGTTGTGGGGAGCTACGTACGCACGAGGTGACAATAGTCTGTACGTAGCTATATTTATGTTATGTCAGGGTAGACTTAGATTCGCATCATGCCTTAATTGTGCTATTTGTATTTACCCTCGTACTTGATTTCCTTAATTTATGACTGAGATCGAGGTTAGCATAAAAATATTGATTGAGCCTCTTACTTTGGAAAATTGTGAAATATTTGATGAACTATAAATCCGTGTATTCTCGACTCGCATGTACTTCCGTGAGTGAGGTAGTTTCTTTACTCTTATGGGATAGGGTCGATAGTATGGTAATACTATTTTTATGGGATCGAGTCGTTCGCCTCAGCGGTACCGTGTATCATTATTCTTATGCGATCGGATCATTCACCTCAGCAGTACTGAGTATCACTATTCCTATGGGATCGGTCCGTTCACCTTGACAGACTCGTGCTTAATACTTGAGCTTGGATTTGGTTTTGATAACAGCTGAATTCGTGCCTTTGAGGCCGGTTATGATATTTTAGTGATTTGATATAGATCCATATTGAAAATTTACTATTAATATTTTATCTGTTTCGTTGCTACTTGTTGTATATCCTCCATATCTACTTTATGTATTTTATTACTGTTTGACCACTAGTAAGTATCAAGTCGACACCTCGTCAGTACTTCTTCGAGATTAGACTAGATACTTACTAGGTACGCGTTGTTTTACGTACTCATGCTACACTTCTGCACTGATTGTACATGTATTGAGACATGTACTTCCAGTGGTCACACGGGCATATAGACGCACTTCCACGGAGACTTAGTGGTGAGATGCTTACCCTGCTTCGATCTGCAGCACTAGAGTCTCCCTCCACCTTATTTCTGTTTATGTCTATTTTACTTCAGACACTAGTTATAGTAGTTTTGTATACTCTCTAGCTTGCTCATGCACTTGGGGTACCGAGTTTTGGGAATTTTTAGCGTTTATGCACTGTTGTACTTATTATTACTATCACCGTGGTTTATATATTATTCACACTTGATATTTTTGGGGAAGAAGTATGTACGGTTCCATAAGATTTTACTTTTAATCGGTGTATTTAAAAAAAATATTTTTAAAAGTTAAAAAGGAATAATTAAATTGGAGGTTTACGTATGGGCTTGCCTAACGGCGGCGTTAGGCGACATCGCGACCTAGGTTTTGGGTTGTGACGGGCTTGGTCCATAAGGCTAGCTAGTTATTTGGGTAGGGTTGAATTAAAAAATTTCAAACCCGTTTGAAACTGAGGCTTATAAGCCCAACCCAAGTTAACCCGTTGACCCTAAAGCCTTGATCGAGGCTGGGATAGGGCTGGACCAATCCGTGAGCCAAAAATTAAATTAAATTCATTTTTAAATATTTTAATGAACATGTAAGAATAAATAAAAACTAAGTTATCCCCATTTTACAATCCTAAATTCAAAGTTAACTGCTTGCGTAGATCCAAACATTGTGATTGCCCGTGTATGTCAGACCAAGGCAAAATTATTGTTGACCTATAACAATGAAGCAAGTAATAATTTGAACACTAATACATAATAGTTTTTCATCAAAATGGATGATTTTAGAATTTAGATTTTTGATATGCTTATAACATAACAAGATTAGTTTTTCTTTTACTTAATTAACTACATATGTCAGACCATGGCAAAATTATTGTTGACCTATGACAATAAAGCAAGTAATAATTTGAACACTAGTACATATAGTTTTTCATCAAAATGGATGATATTAGAATTTAGATTTTTGATATGCTTGTAGCATAACAAGATTAGTTTTTCTTTTGCTTAATTAATAACAAACTAGAAAAAATTTAAGCGGCCATAATGATTCTTTTTCAAAAGAAATTATTATCCTTGATTAGTTTAGATTACTATAATTTATTATTAACAATTAAACTACTTGTCAGTATAGGAGAAGATCAACCCAAGAAAAAAATGACAGCACTAATAAATTTCATGAATTTTTAAATTTGTATAAACCATAATGATAAAATCAGCAAATGATCTTAAATCAAATTAAAAGACCTAATCATATAAATTTACTTGAACCTGAGAAGTTGAAAAGAAAAATACTAAACAATATTCATCTAACGTAAAAAAAAAGAAGCTATAAATATAAACAATTTGCATTTGAATTACAAAATTCTTTATCAAATATTAAGATTCTTGTATGACTATATGCAAACAAAAGTTATTCACATGATTAGGGGATTTACGTCACGAAGAAATTCTTAAAGACTTTTTTAAAAATATGTTTTTTTAAAATAAAGGGCGTACCCATCCTAGCCCATAGCCTTCTTGGAGCTGGGCTGGGTTGGCCATTTTAATATCTATTCAAATGGGGCCTATTCTAGCCCACCAAATTTAAAGGCCCGTAAGGTCTCGGCTGGGTTGGACTGACTGGCCCATTTTACAGCTCTGCAAAGAAGTTTTATAAGAAGAGTAAATTACTTTCCTATTTCTATTTCAAAAAGTGATTTCCAACAATCCTATTTATGATAGTGACTTTCAACTATAAACGACAAAGATGTCACTTAATTATTTGTAAATACCTATAATACAATTAATATTTAAACACTAAGTGTGGTAATAACTAATTCACGCAAACAGTATTCACAAAATCAATAGATGTATAATATGTGCTTGCACTTGCACATAGACTTCTTTCACATAATTATGATTGACTGATGTATATTTTTATCTCATCATCTCAGTTAATTATAACTAATTAATATAGTTTGGTGTTAACATCGGACGAGATAAGTTTTCACTCAAATACTTATTGTCTGATGCCAATGCCACCTATTCCATTTCCCTTTATTTATTCTTTAAAACAAATAATTTAGATTAGATCACATTTATGACTATTTTGTAAATTGAAGGAGAAAAAAAGTGTCAAAATAAAATACATGTTATTTTTTATTTATTTATCAGTATCTTTTAATTTGTTGGGAAAAGAAAGCGGGGATTATTTAGATCCTTTAGATATGTTACATTTAATTTCGGTAAATAATTTGGCGCAACATTTGAAAGACATAAAAATTATCCCGCCAAAGAATTAATCCATATAAATGGCGTGTATCTCAACACATAGCATCATAACAATAAAATGACCACTATTTTAAGTTTGAAAGATAGAAGTTTCACTATCACTTTATCTTTATCTTTTTACACTCAGGTGAATCAACTCTCTTCTTTCAATGGATTTTCTAAACTCACGATTATCGATCCAAATATGAGTAAGGTCTAGTGGTAAAATATGTCAAATTTACATATTAATTCCTTTGCATGTGAGGAAAAGCAACATTGATATTGTTTACCCGGAAAATCGGATAGAGTTAAATTTATAAGTAATTCTAAGGATGTGTGATATAACTTGATACAAATCGTACAGAGAAACAGAAATACATATATTCTAGACTATGGGAATGAGAGATAAAATAATGAGCGAGAAGAATGAATGAGATAAAGTAAAACAGGCCCGAGAGGTTGATCTTTCAATATGAGAAGTAAACTTTTGTTATAATGTGTGAATGTCCTTATGCTTACAGTAATCCCCTCTTTATAGTATAGGGATCATACTTTATATACAATAAAAAATATACAGTGAAGAACCCATAATGAATTGTCTTTTCCCTAATTCCTGCCAGGATTCTCTCCCTTGGTGCGGTTGCAACAACCCTTGTCTGTGAGCTCGATATTGACTCGAACTCGATATTGGATCAAGCCATCGGCCTTGACTCGAGCTTGATCCTGACTCGGAGTCTTGATATTCGGGGTGGGCGTTGGTCGGTCTATGCATCTTTGACAACTTTCGCGTCGCCTCGTAGTTCGAATTGGTTATGGGCTCGATAATGATACCGAGCTGATCATTGATCGGTCTTAGAGCTCGAAACATGACGTCCTTACTTCAGACCTCGACCTGACATTACGCAAATACCCTTTGATCGAAGTATTATTATCTCGACCAGTCCGTACGACTGACTAATAGGTTTCGACCGTATATGAGGAAAGCAACCTATCAACACAAATTTGAAAAGTCCAGAAATGTTGTTGCTTATGTTTGAAGGTAAATATTTACTAGTAATATCAATCTTGAAATAAATTTTTATGAATGTGACTCTAAAATATTTATCAAGAATATACAACATCTGTCAGTGTGGGATTTGCAAAATGTCTAAATTTCACTTAGATTGCAATGTCAAAAGTTTCTGGATTCCTCTACAAATAATATCTTTCTTTAAATGAATTTTATGCTTGTAAATCTAGAGTTTTATCAAAAAGATATATTTTCTTATGTGGCATTTTACAAAATTATACAAATTTTAGTTGAATTACAATGTCAAAGTTCTAACTTTATTTCCCTCATAGACTTGTTAGATATATCCCTTCACGACTGCTAATGACAAACAACTATTCCCATAAAGGTTAAGTGAATGATACACATTTCACTTTTCTTATGAATCTAATGCATGTATAAATAATGGTATTTTGCTATTTGCTTATCAATTACTACTTCATTCCATCAATTGCCCCCATTTGGCTGTCATCATCTTGACTGAATATACATAAATGATGCATAATCTATTTATAGATTTCCATTAAAAATCTTAAAATCCCTTTTTTTTTAATTATTGTTTAATTATAGGACTAAAAAATAAACTATTTAAAATCTTTCCAAGACAAAAAAAAATGTTGTCGCTATTTATTTTATTTCTATTTTCTGCAAAGGGCAAAACACTTATTATTATTTACAAAAGCTTAGATATTTTCCTATTTTGTGAAAACATGATTTGGAATACAAAATGCTTGAAAAATCAACACACAAAATTTCGGAGAAGTGGCGCCAATTCATTCTTCGAAAAATAAAAAAGAAAAGGCATTCCCGCCTCTTCACCTTTTTTTCCCCACCAAATGCATTGAATAAAAAGCCACTTGGACTTCTTAAATAATTATTACACATTATATCGCAGTGTGTTAGGGTAGTTAAGAGCGAGAAGAAACATTGAGGAGCTATTTGACGGAGATTTTTCAGACACATAAACTGTTTACAAGAAATCTTTGAAAAATTATCAAAAAGGATAAAGTGGGTTGCTCTTAATATAGGTTTAAGGTCTTGATCTAAAGATTCTTCTCCAGATCTCAGAAATGGGTTCCCTGGCGGGGTTGGATAAGCCGGATACTGTTGCTGCTGGTAATTTCTCCCTTTTTTTTTTTTTTTTTTTTTTTT